CCACAGCAAGGTCCTGCTTTCTAGGATGGGAAAATGGCATCACTGATTTATAAAAGCTCTATGAAGACATGACCTGTTTATGAATTCTGAGATAGGAACAAAGAGCTAGTTTTGAATGTTATGGCATGATGAAGAACATCTTTATAGCTTTGCTAAATAGTGAATTAAATGGTGTGGTACTGCAGGATAATGCACTGAACTGCAAGGTCAGTTTAAATCACAAGGTCAGTGGTTCAGACTTACCAGCTGCTCCTTGGAAACCCTATACAGGGTCGCTATGAGTTGGAATCAACTCAACGACACTTAATAACGAGAAGAAGAAGATGAAAATCAATTAAAAAGATAAAGTGGCAGCCAATGTCCATGTATTTCAATTGACATTTGGCGTAGCCAAGAACAATGTGGCCGTGGCCCAGAGCCAAGTGTGAAAATGATTGCTCTGTAAGTCAGTGCAGTCTATTTGACGCTTCCTAATCCACACTAGGGAGAAGATGGACCTGGAGAGAGATGCAACTGTGATGCTAGTGGTGCACCCCACTGACTTCCTGCCATTCGGAGGGGACACAGCTCAGGCATGCGGAAGGCCTCCAGAACCTCTGATACTCTAAAGCCCCTGATGTGATTTTTTTTTAAAGGTGCTCTGAGGCACACCCAAAGGCCCCTGGGTTTACTCAACATTTGGTAATCACTCACCATGCCAGTGTCAAAAGCATATGGAAATAGATGCTACTTTAAAAGCACACAAATACAGGTATATTGCCTCAGTGAATCCTTTACAAATAAGAGGTGAAGTGACCTTCTCCAACATCTTGGTCATAGAGCCAGGATCAAACCTATGTCTGTGGTTTCTAACTGCTTTCAGCTTCCCATCAAGCTATGTCTGGGAGGCTGGTTCTGTAGGGCCCACGTTGTTGTTGGTAACTGCCATTGAGTTGGCTTCGACTCATAGTGACCCTGTACAGAGTCTCTAAGGAACAGTTGAAGTGCTTGAACCGCTGACCTTGTGGTTCAAATTGACTTTGTGTTCCACTGCTTATCCTACAGTGTCACACCAGGACTCCATGGAGCACAGTGTTAAAGGAAGTCGGCGAAACCTACCTGCTGACAAGCAAATAGTACAGGGCCAGTGGCTAACCCAAGCTTCAGATCCGCTGATGTTGGTTTGCCCATCTGGTGAGAACATGAGGTGAAGTCCAACACATCATCTATTAGCTAGCAAATGAAAAAAAAAAAAAAGAATGTAAAAAGCACCAATGTTATTGCCTCCACTCTCTCCTAGTCCTGAGGATTTTAGTCTTGGGGGCCATGTTGATTGTACGGACTTGTCAACATTCTTATACGAACCTGAAAAGCTATTCCCACATTTTTTCCATATTGATAGGCAATCTCATGCACCACTGGGTCAGGACATCCTAAGACAGAGACCTGAAACACAGAATTTGGATATAAGCATCAGACAGGCAGAAACAAAATCGTAAAGAAGATCTGGGCAGAAAGATCCCCACAGTAGTAATCCAACCTCTTAAGTAAGAGAGAGGGAGGGGCTGGATGATGTCTAATCAGGGAAACTGCTACCAGAAGAGCAAACATATCATTTCCAATGGAAAACAAATTCATTCTCAACATTGTTTTTACCACTACTTAGGAAAAACTGAACTACAACTAGACCAGTTCTGCAGGTAATATGCTAAGAAAAGAGCGACTCTGACAGGCAAAAGAAACAGACCCTAATATGTGAAAATACTGATTTCCAGCACTCAGCAGACTGGGCCCGATTGTTGACTTTAATAATCTGAGTTGGAACCGACTTGACAGTACTTAACAAAAATTGATTTGTCTATCCTCATTTTAGATTTCAAATACACTCGAATCATATACATGTTGTTGCCATACATACATTTCTTTCACTGGAGCTCTAAGAATTTTTGGTGAGTTTTATGTTTCTGAAATCCAGTGATTTTTTGGTATGTAATAGCCTTAAAAGTCATGCTGAAGAGACTTACATTGTTTTTTTATTATCAGAAGGATCCATGTTTTTAGAGAAATAGGGCTTCTAAAGCTTTTTTTAAACAACAAAAAAATAAAACAAAAAACTCCACTTGACTGCACTTTCCAGTGCTCTGCTCGGCATGCTAAGCAGGTCCAGTGACATTTCCAGAAAACAAAGACTGTGTTACAACCAAAGGGAAGGAGGATGAGGAAGCCAGATGGAGCTCTCCACTGTCTCCGTTCAGTAACAGATCGATGATAAAGAATCCTGTTCCCCGACCCTCAATTCCACTTTGGTGGCTCTTTACTCAGGCAGTCAATACGGTAGGATGGTTAGGGTGCAGGCTCTGAAGTTAGCCCCCTAGAGTTGGAGCATGCCTTAAAACACACGGCCATGGCTTGTTTCAGTCTCCATGCTTCAGTTTCTTCATCTATAAAAACAAAGGGATCAAGAGTCCTGGTGTGGCATAATCATGTGCTGGATTGCAGTCAGTGGTTCAAGTTCACCAGCTGCTCTTCGGAAACCCTATACAGGATTGCTGTGGGTCAGAACCAACTCAACGACACTTAACAACAACAGAGAGCCCTTTACCTTGCAGGTGTTGTTGTGAGACTAAATAGGATGGTACATGTAAGGTCCCTGCCTAGTGCTAGTATCCAGTTAGAACTCCGTGTGTCTGCTATCGGCAGTAGTCATCCTCCTCCTAGTCATTCATGGGAGGCAGTGTCCATTGCCTCTTCCAATAAAGCCAGGTCACTTCACATCTTCAGCTAGGAGACTTCTCTTGATGACTTAATGAAGTCTGAGTGTGAAGTGTTTGACCACAAGTCCAGGATAAATATACACACACTGTAAAAGGTCAAGTGGCCACTTTCTTGACTGAAAAATCACTCAGAACTACTTTCAATAGCAAAGACCTTAGCATTAGCAGGCACTGACCCATAGGGCTGTGGCAAGGGCCACTTCTTCAATGAAACTAAAATGTCTGCAGGACCACATGGGGGACAATTTAGAAACTTTGAAAGAAGGCAAGACATCCATCAGTTGGCTAAAAAACTGCAAGTGTGACAAGATTAGAGCAGCCTATCAGAAATCAGAATATTCTATCAGAATAGAATATTCCTTTCACAACCAAAAATAACTGATAATTGAAGCCCTTCTTTGAACTCAGATTAATGCTGTTTCCTAAATACAAAGCCACACAGAAATAGAAACTTTCTTTCTGAGAAGCAAAAGATTAAATATCTATACAATCTGTGTCTAATTTTAATGAATGGAAATTAAAATTAAAATGGTAGTACACGTGATTAACACTTTACATTATTTTAGCTAAACATTACAATCCACCCATAACCAAACCCATTGCCACTGTGGTTGGTGGTAACGTGCCGTGGAGTTGGTTCCGACCCATAGCGACCCTGTATAGGGTTTCTGAGACTGTAAATCCTTATGGGAGCAGAAAGCCTCATCCTTCTCCCGTGGTACAGCTGGTAAATTCAAACTGCTGACCCTGAGGTTAGCAAGACGATTTATAACCACTACATCAATCCCAATTCATATGGGACCAGGCAGCCTCATCTTTTTTCCGTGGAACAGCTGGTAAGTTCAAACTGCTGACCCTGAGGTTAGCAGGCTGATTTGTAACCACTACGTCAATCCCAATTCATATGGGGCAGGCAGCCTCATCATTCTCCTGAGGAGCGGCTGGTGGGTTTGAACTGGTGACTTTGTGATTAATAGCCAAATGCCTAGCCTACAGTGTTCACCAGGACTCCCAACATTACAACATCCCATCAATATTTATTTTGGTAGATGATGACAATAACAACTAAACAATTTAGTACTTAGTATGTGCCAGGTACTGTTCTGAGGTGTGTCCCATATTACCTCTCCTATAAAGTAGGCACTGAGACAGATAATACCAGTTGTTACACAGTTATTTTGGCTCTATAGACTGCTCTCTCAATCACTTTTGCTATACTGCTTCTAATGGCAACAGAATGGAAGCTGAGAGAGGTCAGGTAATATGCACAAATAGTTAGAAAGCTGGTCATCCACTTTTTCCACGTGCTGTATGCTCACACTGAAATGAGCTACCTAACAGTGGGTAGCTTCTGCTTTCACATACAGATTTCAACTACTGCAGTGCAAAAACCACCCTAGAAGAGCCTGCTCCCCAAGCCCAGGCAAGGGCTGGTAGCATCTCTGGCAAGGACACAGAGAAACTATCACAACTACGAAAATCAACGCAATACAACAGGAGAAACGGAAAGGAGGTGCACCAACTGCAAATGAACCCTGCGTGTTCTTGGCATCAGAGGACTGCTCACATCCTTTCTAGAAGTGGGTGGAGAACAGACTGACTTGTAAAAGAGAGTAGAAATTGTCTGTTTTGTTTGAACCAGATGCCAGAGCCAAGCCATGTTGGGCATTATGTATCTTTCTGGGGAATGTCCACACTTTTTATCACATTGTCTAGTTAAATCTCTTTTTGGATAGGAACTACTATTTTCATTGACAGAAGTGGCAAAGCACTTGATATTTTTCAAATATTTGTGTCACCAAGCATTAAGAACTATTCTGGTATGTCTGTATGGTTGTTGTTAAGTGGTGTCGAGTTGGTACCAATTCATAGTAACCCTGTATAGGGTTTCTAAGGAGCAGCTGATGAGTTTGAATCGCTGACCTTGCGGTTCAAAGGAACCTTGCAGTCCAGCGCATTAGCCCACAGTGCCATACCAGGATAACAATATGTGTGTATATATGGATATATACAAGGACCTCTGATAGCACATGGGTTACAAGTTAGGCTGCTAACCGCAAGGTCAGCAGTTCGAATCTACCAGTTGTTCTGTAGAAGAAAGATGAGGCTTTCTGCTCCTGTAAAGATTTACAGCCTTGGAAACCCTATAAGCAGCGCTATGAGATGGAACCGACTCCATGGCACATTAACTGCCAACATGGATATTTAGGTATGTGTGTGCATACATATATTGTGGTGGTGGTGACTATGTGTCATGGAGTCGGTTCCGATTCATAGTGGCCCTGTATAGGGTGGGTTTCTGAGGCTGTAAATCTTTACAGGAGCAGAAAGCCTCATTAAAAAGATTATTACTATTTATTATTATTACAAAAGAGGTTGTTGTTAAAAAAAAACAACAACTGAAAAATCTGGAGAAAATATATGCAACATAATATCATAGCTAAAGAACTAACACTATATAAAGAACTCTTAAAACCGAAGGGAAAAAAGACCAACTACCAGATTGAAAAATGGGCAAAAGACAACAAACAACTCACTAAAATGAAGCTATAAAAATGGCCCTCAGGATATAAAAATATGTTTAGCCTCATTCATGAGAGACACAAAAACTAGAAGCCCACTGCAGCACCATTTCTCAACTACAGATTAGTGAGGATTGACAAGTCTGTGTGGAAACACTCTGAAGGAAATGCATATCAGAATAATAAGTGGCAGTGTCTAAGGAAGCCATATACGCAAATATCTTTCAAATTTACCCTGAAACTGTATCTCTAATGAGTACATAAATACATTTGCACAAGATCAGTCACAGTAGTACTGTTTATAACTGTAAAACATTAGAAACCTACACATCTCTGTATAAATGTTGAATAAACCACGGCACTTTCATACTAGGGGATACAACGCAGCTGTTTTAAAAATGGGGAATGTTCTACAAACCGAAATCCAGTGATAGTTTCTTTTGTTAAGAAAGCAAGGTATAAAACCAAAACCCAAACCAAAAACAGTATACTAATTTTATTCTAACAAAGAAGGTGGGGAGAAAAAATACACAACCCACAAAACTCTAAAACCAGAAAACACAATCAGTAAGATGGCAAAGGAGGCCCGAAGATTACTTGAAGCATAATGAGGAATAAAAATGAACCTCACTACACTTCAAGTAATAACATAACCACACTGTAAAGGCAGACAGGTAACTTTTGAACCCTGTACTTTTACTATACTTTGGCTACAGACAAAAGGAACTATAAGCAAGCAAGCATTTAAAAAGGTTTGTTTTTGGATACTCCTATGTGTTTTCTACACCGTGGTAGCACAGCAGATTATCAAAGCTGTGTTACTATCTGTAAGGTCAGCAGTTTGAATCTACCAGCTGCTCCGCAAGAGAAAGATGAGGCTTTGTGTTCCCCTAAAGATATACGGAGTTGTAGTGTGGCACTGTGGGTTAATGCGATGGGGATTGCAAAGTCTGTTTGAACCACAAGATCAGCAGTTTAAGCTCACCAGCCACTCCTCAGAAACCCTGTACTGGCTCACTATGAGTCGGAACCAACTCAACAGCACTTAACAACAAAGATCTGCAGCCTCGGAAACCCTACAAAGTATTGTAAAAGGGGCCCTGATGGTGCAGTGGCTAAGCACTCAATTGCTAACTGAAAGGTTACTAGA